ATTTTATTTCTTATGAGAATTTACGCATATATACTTTTACTTCTAATAGCATAAACATTTTTGTTCCCTCTGTTTTTGGTTTTTTTCTTCTCGTCTCTTATATATTCATTATCCGCTTAGCGAATATGGATAATTTCTTCTCTTTTTCTTTTGAACAGTCCCATTATTGTGTGCCTGTCTTTAACCTTTGTCCAACAGCATCAGTCTATGAGGAATCTGGCGATATTTTTTTTTTTCTTCTGTTCAAATATACCTGTGTGTATTCGTTTATTTATGGTGGCTGTTGTTTCAAATGTTTGAAGTTAGTGTTCATTCTTTTTCTTTTTTTTTTTTTTTTTTGTTTACTTCATTTTGACTCTCGTCTCTTCTCACATAAAACATTTTTATTATATCTGACATAATCTTGCAATAGCGACTTTTGGAGCATATGTCATTTATTTGAGATATATAATGAAAATAAATAACTATGTCGAGAGAAGTATACTCTGCAATTTTTCGTTTTAGTTTTTTTTTTCTCAATGTTTAATGGATAGATTTTTAATTTTTAAATGTTATAATAGAAAGAGTATAAGAAACATGTACTATTAAGTAAATAATAATCTCGAAAAGTATTGTCAACACATTGATCGATAATTGAATTTATTTGACATTAGTATATTTTTCTATGCAAAGATTATTATACTATTTATAAGTAATTAATTAATTGTACTCTTTTGAATACAATGGTAAATGAATTATAATTGATTATAATATTGCAATATAATAATTATTTATTTATGCATGTCAAGAAATACAAAAAATATTTATGGAATATTATATTATTTGCTAAAATTTTTTTTGACATTAAGTTCATTAATATAAGATTGCAAAACATTTATTTCAGCATTGAAATTTAACGCGGACGAAAATAAAAATGCTAGTAGCGTAATCCTTGTGGAATTAAAATGTAAAACATGATGTAGCTGCTGTTACTAATCACAGGAACATATTTCTTCATCATTCTTTTACTTAATTCTCCAGAAATATAATAATACAGTGCTTGATGTTATTTATATATATATATGGTTTTTGATCGTATATCGACATTGGTGGGAAAGGAGATGAACTGTAAAAATATTTACAAAATTCAACCAATTATTAATGTAAGAACAAACATTAATTAGCTCATGACTCGTGCAATGAATACCATAGAATCATCAAAAAAAAATTGACATGTACATAATAAGAATCTCTTACTTTGTTTTTTTTATAGTCAGCCTAAAAGATATATAAACAATAGTCAACATTCTTTCTAGCTTCTTGTTTGATTAGTCAAGACTCTTGTTTTGTTTTTTTTATATACACTACAACTACTTGAATCTTTTCTCATGATTCAGACGTAACATCTTTATACGTCAACACGATTATTTACTGTTAAAAAGTAAAAGATAAATGCAACAAAACATACATTCCATTTTATATAATATGCAAAAAAAAGAAGACATCAAGAACAAAATACAAACAACACTATTTTATAGTGTCGAACTATAAATTTAATAAGTTCATTGTTAAGAAAAAAAAAAGGACAAACGACTGAGATAGTAAAGACATTGTCATTTAATCTGGACTACTCGGTACATGAAACCATTTCAGACAAAACGAGAAACAAAATAAACTCTCTTCTAGTATAGTAATAATACATTTGTTCAATGTTCTACTCTACAAGAATATAGATCTAAAAACTATTGTTTCTTCATATAAAAGTCGTACATAAACGACATTCAAGTAAAGAGGACAGGAAGTTCAAAGTTAGTTTATTTTAAAGAACATTTTTAAATAGGAAATGAACTGAATGAATCAATTGAATATGAATATGATATTGAAATAATTCAAGATTATGCTACATGCGTAGATAGTTATTTTATAATAAGATCTCTATTAAAAATCATGTTCAAATTGAAATTCAATAAGAGAGAATCATCTTATCAAAAATTAAAAAGAAAAGACATTCGATATTTGGATGCCAATCAAAATCTCAATTCACTTTATTTCGATTCACGATTGTATCTAACCAAAACAAAAAATAATTTTAATAAATATAGAATATTCTATCAATTTTATATCGTCTTTTTTTTTTTTTACTAATACACTTATTTCTTTTTCCGGTTGCTACTATGTTTTACTTTCTATGAATAATTTCTGTAGAAAATTTCTAAAAGACAGAACAAAAGTTCTTGTGTCTTTTTTTGCGTGACCGTTTTTATACCAATATAACAAGAAAAGAAAAGAAAATCTATACAATGAAAGAAAAGAAAAATTGCTATTGCATACAATAGAAAAGACGAATGAAAGGATGCATCTATATAAGATGTAACAATAGAAAGGAAGGTAATAATATATATATAGAGAGAAAGAGACGTGTAATAAATAAGAAAAAAAAAATCTTTAACTACCTAACGACAATCTTAGCTTGATTCATCTTGGTTGTGATTCTCTTAACGGTAAGTTAACTCTATACTCTTATGTCTATCATCATATTCTCAAAAACTTCTTGGTTATATAGTATGAAGAGTTTATTATCTTTTTAAGAAGAACAATCTTAATAAATAGTCATATTAATATTTATTAAGAAGTACAATTATCAATGATCTTATTACATATATAAAGATCAATAAATTTTACTCATCATACCACTATTAATAAAATATAACCTCGAACAAGGATGATGATGATGATGACGATGTCACTTTATTTTTCTTCAATTTTCTAATGTCTAATCTAGTATGAATAGATAAGAGTATAAGAAGAGACTACAAGGAAAAACAAGTTTAACTTTGTTGTATAATGAAAATCTGCTTTTAGTAATCATTGTATTTGTATTCAGTAACTTTTTTTTTCTTTTTATTAGAAAAACATCTTGTTACATGTTATATTCTTACAATAATAACAATAACAAATTGCTTATAGAATTATTAACAAAAGAAAAGAATTTTTCATAGAAATCTATATGTTTATCTTCTTTACGAATCACTAACGTAAAGATTCATGCAAATATTTAATACATATTATAATCCAGATAATGGATCTTTGCATCCATTATGGCTTGGTATATTGATATTATTCTTTATCATCATTATTCTTAGTATATTATGTTGTCTACGAATAAAATGTGGTTTACTATGGAACAATTTATTTAATCAATCATTTAAGAAAAAGAATGATAAACACGGTAAATAAGAATTATTTTAATAACAATAGCTGTTAGCGAAATCTCTATGGAATTATAAAATGTAAAATATAATATAGATGATATCGTTAATCACAGGGACATTATTTTATTCTATGTAGTTTGGGACACATTTCTTCATCATACTTTTACTTAACCCTACAGAAATACAACAAAGGAGGTATTTTAGATTTTATAACTAGATGCTGTTGATATATGATTATAGACCCTATATCAATAATGTTTGTTGCAGAATGTAGCTAAAGTGTCTATTGAGGGAGTCCAAATGTGTATCTCTATACTTCAATACTTCTTTTAGATCGTCTTTCACAAAAAATAAGTGCAAACTGTTGTAAATTGAATTGTTGATAAAAATAAAGTTTTCATTAAAATTTACTTTAGATTTTAATGTTAAATAACTGAAATATCTTTTCAATCTTTTGTAATATTCAAAACAAACAAACATTGATGTTAATTTTAGGTCATTATGCTTGAATATACTGAATAATTATTTGTTTTATAATATAAAAGAAAAAAATTCAATAGAATCTTTTCTTTTGAATAAATAGATTTTTTCACTTGATTAAATATCTTCATTTTTTTTTTTATAAAAACATATATTAATGAACAAAAATTAATATTCTATTCTTTTAATATTTCTTAAGATATTCTTAATTTTATTTATTCTAGAGAATCATTCAAATGATGACAAACATGCAACACGTAGTTATTCTTATAATTGGTCACCTATTTTTACGCCGTTAGACAATGAATCACCAAAACCTCATCCATTTATTCGAAATATTCATAAAGATAATTTTGATAAACAGTCATCTATCAAACAACAACAACATAATGATGAAGATAAAGGTAAAAATGAACTATATTCAACTAATGAATCTGATCATCACCATCATCATCATCAAGTATTAAATGAAATTTCATTTTTGAAAAATTAGAAGAATTAAAAACAAAAATTTGTATATTTTTATTAGATATCTATACTACCATCAATTTATAATACTCGAAATTCTGAAATAGCTCGAAAATTTTATGCAAGTATGCGTAATAGTAGTCAACATCTAAATTCTCCATCATGTAATAGTTTCCATAGTGATTCATCATTATCAAGTAATTATCAATCATCGATATCAATTCATTCAAATCAATTAGAACCAGAAGCAAATATAAACTTATTACGTACACCATGTTTTTTTCAATCAATACCCTATACAGGTTTAAAATATTCTTTTTATTTATTTCAAAAACAAAAAATATTTATATTTTTCTTTTTACTTTGTTTTTGTTTTAGATGGATTAGCGATAAGTCTTTAAGAAATAATTCTTTACGTCTTCTATTTCTTTTTCATGAATTCCTTTACTAAATACGATCATATATCTCTCCATATGATGTCTTATATTTATCATAGCATGATGCAAAAAAAATAAAATAAAATCTCGAATAGTCCAGATTAGATTCTCTTGTCATGATTTGTCATACAATGACCTATTTTCTATTTTTATTTTTCAAATTGATGAACTCAATATATATATACATTTTTGATTGATGTATAGGTCATCTTTTCAAGTCATCAATAAAAAAGAAAAAACAAAACAAAACAAAACACGAAAGCCACACAAACATACACACTCACAGACAATATGAAAAAATAATCATAATAATAATAATGATAATAATTGCACAGTAATTAATAAATCAAGATAATTCATTATTTACAAAGAAATATAAAACATTAAATACATAAACAAGAAGAAAAAAGAAAAACAATAAATTTTAAATTGTCATATCAATTGTATTAATATCATTTTTAATCGATTGTTTATCATAATTAATATCATTATTCGATGATGTTTGTGATGAATTTCTTGTTGTTATTGTTTCATTTCGTACTTTAACAGTTATAACTTGAACACTTTGTTCCATAATTTTTTCACCTAATGTTGGATGATTTAAAAATTCTGATTTTGTAACAACTTTAAGTGTTGTTGTTTCATCATTATTTGTTGATGGGCAATCATCATATGATTCTGTTATAAAACGACGTGATTGTTCACCATCACGTGTTTCTGAATGTATTATTTCTGTATAAGTTATATTATGACTTGGTAATTTAATTGATGTATTCATATCAGTAGATGGTAATAATGATTCTGAAAGAATTTTATTATGATTTTCAATTATTGAACTAGGTAATGTTGATATTTTTGATGATATATCATTTTCAATTTTATTTGATGTTGATAAATTTGTTTGTATTAATTCATTAAATATTTTTTCTTTATTAAAACTATATTCATCTTTATCAAATTTTTCTTCATTAACAATAAAAGATTTTGAATAATTATCATCATTTATTTTTATTTGTTGTGGAATTGATAATTCTTCATTTTCAAATGAATAAGATGAATGTTGTTTTATTGGAAAATTTTCTTTTAATTCATGTATTTCACCATGTTCTTGAATTTCTTTAACAATACGTTCAATATTAGTTATGTTTTCTTGCGTATCAATATGTGTTGATGATATTGGATTACCAATTTCACTTTCAGTTGCTGTTTCGATAATATTTAACATTATGTCGTTCATATCATCGATAGCATTAACAAGTTTTGGTTGTATATCAGTTTCACTAATAGATTGTTGTTTTTCATTATTATCATCATTATGAATATTTTTAATTACTTTATTTTTATTTCGATAATTAATTTCAGTTAAATTAGTTGTAGGATTTTGTGATGTTACATTTGATGATAATATTTTATTAATATGAATATTTTTTGTATGTTGAGATGATATAGGTGATGATGTTTGATAAATAGTTTCAAGTCCTTTGAGAGCAGCATCAATTGAACGACGAAAATCATCACTAATTTCATATTCATTAAGTAATTTTGATGATGATGATGATGATGTTGGTGGTGGTGGTGGTGATGATGATGATGATTGTTGTGAAGGATTTGTTGTTATTAATTTTGGACGCATTTTTACTTCTGTTACAATAATTGAACGAAGAAGATTTCCATCTTGATTAAGAACATCAGCATTATCATCAATAATTTTTACAATATAACCACCATTTGGATTAGCAAATATTGCAGCTTGTTTACCCTTTATTGGTTTTTTTTTTAATTTAAAATATTAAATTATAAATAAAATAAATAAATATATATTTACCTTATAAAATAAAATTCGTGCTTTTTCTAAAGCTTCTTTTAAATTAATACCGGGTTCACCGGATGATGATATTTGACCATGTTTATTTTCGGATATATTAGTATCATTAGTTATCTAAGAACATGCAAAAAAAAAAAAGAAAAATGTTTATTTATAAGATATAGATTTTGTTGTTTTTTTTTTTTTTGTACTTCGCCATTAGTTATTATCGTTTGTTGTTGATTATTATCAAGTATAATCTGTCCATGCTGTAATTTTTCTGCTATTTGTTTTAGAATATCAATTGTATATGTAATTTTTTTTGGTGATACTAATGAAATTTCTTTTTGTACAATTTTATTTAATTTATTTATTGTTTTTATATCATGACGTTCAGAAATTAGATCTATTGTTTTATTAACTATTGTACGATAATCATTAATATCATTTGAATATTGTTGTACTGTTGAAATAATATTATTAAGAACATATTCATCAATTTTTGGTCGATTAGACTTTAACCATGTACGAAAATGATCATTAATTAATTGTTGATTATTATTAGATATTGTTGTTATTGTAGATAAATTTGAATTTTCTTTTGAATTTGTACAACCCATATTCGAATTCGTCAAAAAAAAAAAAAAAGAAGAAAAAGATCAATAATAATTACTCATCATTTTCGGCTTCTGTTTTCTTTTGCTCTTTCTTCTTGGCTTCTGTGTTTATTTGGATCCACATATATATAGAGAGAGAGAAAGAAAGAGAGAGAGAGCGCAAAGGAAAAAAGTACTTTTCTTTTACCGCGCCTCTCTCTCTCTCTCTCTCTCTTCCTTTTACTATGTTCTAACTTTACTGCTATGCAGAACAGTAACTTCTATTAATGTCGTGCAAGCTTGTTGCATGTGTATGCGTTCAATTATTCACTAAGGAAAAGAAAGAGACAAATCTAGATTCAGCAACAACACTATTCTGTTTTTTTCCCCTCAGTATATGATAGACGACGAGTTGAACCATTAGCCTGAGAAGAACGCAAACGTCCATACTTGATTCAGCCTCTTTTTCTCTCGCTTAGTTATTATTCTATATTGTTATTGTATGCTTATTCTGTTTCTTTGATTCGATGTTACACCTTCTACAAAAGCATCGTCTGTATACGATACGTTTCATAATGAATTCCAGTAAATGTTTGATGTTCTTTCTCTCTCTCTCTCTCTCTCTCTCTTTCCTTATACATGATTGTTGACATGTATGTATACAATAATAGCAAAAGAGCTAAAAAAAGAACACAGATGATGATAATAATCCACATACTGATAATGATGACTACGATCGACAAAGCTCGATAATTATTCAATTTTTTTTTTTTTTTTTTTTGTTGTATATTTATAATCATTTTTAGCCTTAAGTGATACTATTCGTTTAGAATAATTTACTAAGAAGAAAATTTAATAATTCTCCGATGTTGAATCCTCATGAGTAAACCTGCATAACTTCTATAACGGATAAAAAATCAATTAATATGAAATGCTTTTCTAACATGAGTTGCATGCAAAATATATAAATAATATTTTCTAAATAAATCTTAATTATAAACATATAGTAAAAAAGCAAATATATAAAGAATAATAAGAAAAAAAAAACCCATATCGAGTTTGAATAAATCATATTTCCGATGTAGAATAATAAAAGCATATCAAAAATTCAATTTATACAATATTGACTAATGAATATAGAACAACTGTTTCATAATTATTTACCATATATTGATACGATCACATGCATCTTTTGATCTCGTCGATTGATGCGAAAATTGATGAACTTGCTTTTATTAATAATTCAAAAAAAAATTTAGTAGTATTATCTTCTATACAGTCACTAATAGAGAAAAATTCTATAGGGATTTTAATAGAAAGCGACATTTTAATAACTAATATGTTAATGTCATCTATCCATCTGTATATCGGAAAGAGAAGAAAAAGAAAAAGACTTTCAGCTAAGTTAATCAATAAGACAAGAAAAGAAGAAAAAAAAACACCAGACAAGAAAAGTACATGAAAATTTTACATGAAAATTCAATGATCACAATATATAGACAAGGCAATGTCTATTAATATTATATATTAATTATTCATATATGCATTGAATGTTGTTGACGAACATACAAACAACAAACTTTTATCTTAAAAAAGAATTTGTTCTCAAGTCATATTAGTTTGATTTGTATCTCCAAAAAATGTATATTCATAAGACACTTATGTCTTAAAATGCATAAATGTTATAGAATATTAATCAGATTGTATATAATGATAAATCATGGTCAACGTCACTTTGTATAATTTATGAGTCATAATCAATGTTTTGTTTTCGCTTATATGATGGTGATTACTCAATCTCGAATGAAATCTAATAAAAGAAAGACATTTATTATAAATAAAAATGAGATCTGAATGTGTTGGTTATCGAATATTAAAATTGTTTACAACCATATGACTTCATTTTTTATTTTTCTATTTTGTTATACGAAAAGTTATTACACTATCTTAAATAATAACAATCTAAACATATGAGTTATCCATCTTTTTAAAACAATAATAGATGATTTGATAATATATATTTTTTCAATTTCAATATATGATTATTAATAATAATGAAATTTTTTTACCATTTTTATTGATTTTTCAACAATGAAATGTTTTTCTGTTTTAATCAATTGATGAATTTATTTTTACTATTTATTCAATATCACATTTCAATCTGTCGATTGTATTCACTGAAATATAATACTTTTTGCTAATTAGTAGTTAGAAAAATACCTTTATCAAAATGAAAGGTATATATTCCACGGATATGTTTCTGTTGCTAAGTCATAATAAGTTTAGGATATTTATAAAGAAACAAAAAAAAAATACATTATTTTCGAATTAAAATTCCTTGTATACTGATTTTAAATCATATATAATTGACAAATTTTGCAGACTCCAGATATCAAAGTATCATAACAGTAGACGCTGATGTGTTGTTATTGTTTTTTTTCAAATATGATAATTATTATTAAGAATAAATATATTTTTTTTTCCATTCGTGTCCTTTAGAAGTTATACACATCATCACACAAGATTTCATTTTCTTTTTTCGTGCTTATCCATTGTTTTTTTTTGTTTTGTATATACTTTCAATATGTTCAAGAGAGGAAAAAAAATGAAAAAAAAATAGATACACAATATAAGGAGTAACCTAAAGCAATGAAACAATGTGCGACAATACAGAGCAGAAAAAAAAAGAAAAGAAAAAGTATCATCAGCAATAATAATAATAATAATAGTTCGCCCAAAGGTGGGCAAGGAATAAAGCAGGAGAAGCAACGAAAAAAAGAGAAAACGCAATGAGAGCAACAATTACAAAATAAACCATTGTAGTTTTCATGTGTGACAATGCACGTCGTACGGAACGTTTGTTGAGAAAACGAGAAAGTAGATAAACATCACACACACACTTTTATATATATAACAAAAACAAAAAACAAAAAAAAAAAGAAACAATTAGTCTATGGTTGTGTTAAGAACAGAGATCAAATGCAAAAATAAGAAACACAAGACAAAGAAAGAAATGTATATTCTGTATTCATGCCAAATGTCTCACTATGGCAAATAAGAAAAACAACAAATAAACAAATTCTTGATTAATCAAAGCGCGTAGGAAAAGAAAATCAACCGGTCTTATTTTTGCTTGTAAATAAAAAAAGAACAAAAAAAAAACAAACAAAAAGAGTATTTTAGAATAGATATTATTCGTCTGAACTATCATCATCTGATGTTGAACTAATCATTTCAAATCGAAGAAGATCTCGAATATCTATACATGGTAATGCACGACGATTTAATGCTGACATTAATGCTGCTGATGTGTTATCCGTCTAAGATAAACAAAAGAAGAAAGAAACAAATAAATATTATTAATATGTTTTTTAGGTCAAAATCATTGACTAAAACATCTTAAGAGAAGATAATATACATTTTTGTCATGTTTTCTAAACTGATCTATTTCATATGGAATGAGAAAATGTTGTTTATTTAAAAGAATAGAAATTAGATAATCAAATTTTGCTACCGAGGAAACGCACGTAAATAATTAATCGCTTTTAAATCGAGGTAATATGAATTATGTCGAAGGTCTGTCGCTATACGAAGTTTTGAAATCAAAATTCAAAAATTAGTTTTCTTCTGATATTTCCGAGAATATATTTTATTAATAAAAATCCTTGCAGTGCCTTGTATAATAAAAATTTATTTCATTAATTAGGACCTATTTGGACTCTGTAGCAGCTAATACAAGCGACTCTGACGCAACAACATTATCCGATACAACACTTTCAAAAACAAACTGCCCGTGTATAGGGCACAGTACACTGGCGGTAATTACCACATAGGAATTACAGAAAATATTTATATGTATAAAATAACAAAAAAGTTTTTTTTTTGGTGACAACGTAATTTCTACCAAGTAGTGCTTACAAGAATGTATGATATTATAGATATAAAAAAAAAATTTTGCATACATTTTTTCATGTATCAACTACATTTTTGTAATAATATCACATGTTGAAATGATGTTAATGATAAGAAGGAATATTGATTAACATATCCTGTTATTATATTAAGTATTTGTCTATTGACTTATCATAGAAAGAAATCTTTCTTTATTCTGCATTTGTATTTATAAGATAAAAATAAAGTAACATCCCTATTCCTGAGGGCAAACTAAATTTTCCTCCTACAAGAGTATTGCAAAGCTATTCATTAGAACTTCTTAGCTATTTGAAGTCGACTATCAATGTATTGTCACAAACATATTATTTTGAGTTTCTTTTATATTAATCTCTCTAGTAATAGAGTCCAAATACTTTTAGTTTCTATTACTAGAGAGATTTGTATAAAAGAAATTCAAAATAATATGTTCGTGACACATGATGATAGTAGACTTGAAATAGCTAACAAGTTCAATATTAAGCGCAACTTTTTCTTTGTTTCCTCCCGTGTCCGGAGACGTTGAGAGTTAAAGAATATCGTGGAAATATAACACGTATACAGCAATAAGCTAAGGATTCAAACTTTTTTTTTTCCTTGATATTTACAACTCATTAGAATCTAAATAATGCGTATAATCTCGACTGAAAAGCAATTAATCGGTTGAGAAGACTTCCTTTTGTGAAATTGAAGCTTGAATCAAATAACCTTTAAATTTATTCCAAGTATAATTACAAAAAGATTAATTTTCCTTGAATTGCATCAGAACACAAAAAAAAATGTTAATTATTTCGGATCAAAGACGTATAATAGACAATGAATCTCGATATTTTAAACTCTTGTTTATTGAATATTTCTCTCGAACGTTATTCTGAAAATTTCATGTGATTATATATTGAATTCTTACTTTTGGTAAAAGTTGAATTCGTTTTTCATATTCTTCTTTATCTTGATCGGTAATTTCATATGTTATTTCATCACATTCTTTCCAACCCATACGTATTAATAATCTAAGAAAGAAAAAAATTTTTTTTTTGAATTTCTAATAATAAAATCAAAACAAAAAAATACTCAACTCTTTTTCTTCTGGTGTT